CCAAAGTGCCTCTTGGCCGGAGCGTGAAAACCCTGCCACATACATCCGTCCCAAATGTTCGCTCCTTCGAAGGAGACCAGGAGAGAAGTCCGGGAAGAAACATATTTTGGAAAATCAAGGTAAGTCGACCGGAAGCCAGCGTATGAATGAAACTGATCTCTGAGGGTTTTGAGTGAACTCGGGCAAAATGTTTTGCTCCATCTTTTCGGGGAGGCGTGTGCAGCAAGAACAACGGCCTTAAGAGAGAGGGCCGAGTTCCAGTCGCATCCCTCTCGGTGGCCTCGAGGCTTGCGGAGCGGGTCCTGGCTCCCTCCCCTGGAACGTGGAGACTTCAGAGTCCGCCCACAAGGGTGCGAGCCTGAGAACTGGACTCCGTGTGCCTGGCAGAGCGCTGGAAACTTCCAAGCGCCCCGCAGACACAGGCAGTGACCGCCTTGGGAGACCTTCACCATGAGGGGTCCCTGTGCCCGCCACTCCCCAGGGAGGGGCGCCCACCAGCACCGTGCAAGTTAGCGCTGGACACCGATTCTGGGGTCAACCGAGTCCTGGGTGGAGGAGCAGGCTAACCTCTGAGGGAGCAGTTTCCTTTAGAGACAAGAGTCAGACATGTAGCTAATCAAGAATTAGCCTAGCCCCCCCCCCACCCCGCCAATTCCAAGAAATGGTCCTCAGGTTTCAAATCAAAGCTTCCTAGCCACCGCGGAAGCTCGGATTTACGCAACAGCTCCATGAATGTTGTCAGTGACAGGCCTTCGCTTCACACGGGAGACCAGCCTGTGACTGAGGGGAAAGCCTTTTCCTCTGACGGAAACGAAATTAACAGCAATGAGCGCATACGAGGCGCTCGGAGCTCTCTTCTCCGGTCGCACAACTGTTCGGGGTGAGAGATGTACTTCCCGCAAGAATTGCGTTTGCAATGGACAAGCAAGGTTTAACTTCGGTTTCAAAAAGACACCAAGTGGCAACACTGTCCAATATCTGTCTCAAGGAACTGGAAGCCGTCACACTAGTAAAAGCACAGAAACCAAAGGAGCTTTGAATGGACGAGCAATGCAGCACTATGGCAACACGGCACCGGAAAACAATCCTGACTTTTAAAATAACTCATTGAACTCTTACACTGTTCCTGTCCCTGAGCACGACATTGCCTGGATCCGGCTTCTCTGTTCAGAAAAACCCACCCGGGCCCACAGCCCAGAGCACTTCTCACACTGCCCAGCGCACAGGACGGACAGAGACGTGCCTTTCACAGCGATGACGGCCCAGCCGGCAACAAAAGACCTGGGAGCACCCTAAGAGCAGGGGGTCCGGCCTCACCCAGACCCGACTGTGCAGGGAGGACGGGCATCCGACTCCAGGTCCTCCCCTCACTTAGGGATGCACGCCTGTCACTTTCTCACAAGCCCCTCTTACCAAGGAAAGCGACATGAGCCTGAGATGAAAATAACCCGGGAGAGCTCTGCAAACCAGATCCCTGTCCAGCCACCCGACTACCACTGGATTCCTGGAGACGGGGAGTCCCCCTCGGCCACCCCGCCATCGGTCCACACACAGTCCCCTCCGGAGAACAGGTTGCATCCGGCAAACAGCGGAGGTCACGGCTTTACAACACAGACATCTAGATACAAATAGAACATGTCTGCCTCGTCTTTCACTTTCAGCAAGGAAGGAGCCAGGGCATGGAGACCGGCAGACGGGGTTTATCTCAGGAGCTATCTGGGCTGTCGCTGCAGAGTGAGCCGCCAGGAGGTGACAGGTCTGACCAGGAGCAGAAAGGGCTCCTGCATTCGCCTGAGCAGAAGCAGACCCGCGGGCCCCGCACCCATCTTCATCTGAAATGCGGACTCCAGACCCAGGAGGCGCACAGAGCTGCTCTGCTTGGGGAAGGAAGGCTTCCTTTGCCCTAAGAAGTATGGACCCTGGGGAAGCGGGCGGAGGAACCAGCCCGGGATGCTGTCCTGGGGAGGCACGCCTCCATGCGCCCCAGCACCCGTCCTGCACCTCCCAGGGCTGCCCACACCTGAGCTGGCGAGAGCGGTGCTAACGGCATGGGCGGCTAAGACTCCTTGGCTGATGTTCTGGACCCTGAGCCAGCCAGCCATGAGGGTCACCCAGCTCCTCCCCAAATGAGGGCAGGCGAGCCAGGAGGGGCTCTAGTGCCTGCCTCTTCTCTCCTGCCCCCTCCAAGGGCCAGTCTCAAGGGTGGTCCTGACTGGCTCACCCCCAAGGAGGGCAGACTGCGCCCTCCCCCCGTCCGATCCCCAGGGCTATCAGAGACTCCGGAGAAACACAGGGAGGGGAGGGAAGCGTGCTCTCCCACCAGGACCTCTGGTCTTTCTCTATGATGCCTGGGGCCTGCCCCCAAACCTCCTCCAAGGTCCTCAAACTTCACAACAATCCCAGCACCTGTTCCCTTCACCTCTGCACCTGCGCCCCTCAAATCTCCCATCTTCTTCCAGCTCTTTCTTCAGTTCCTTGGGCAAACCAAACCCCAGCTCCCTGCCTCCTCGCCACCCTCCTCTCCCAAGAGATCATTCAACCCCCGCCCAACAGAGCCCCCAGATGTGCCTGTCCCCCACCCCGAAGTTTCCCTTGGGTCTCCTCCGAGTCCCCATCAGAACGCCCAGCCTCCTTCCTTCCCGAGTCTCCCAAATTCGCGCCGGCTTTCCCCAGGTGTCCCATATCCTCCCAGCTTCCCACCCGGACGCCCCCAGATGGCTACCAGGGCCCCTCCGGCCTCCCGGGGGGCTATTTCCAGCGCGGTCCCTCCCCGCCCCTGGCCCC